TGATACTGTACTATAATGATGTATGAAGTCAGGTCATTGTAGGGAGCTGGATGAGGAGTACATTGGATCTCTATATAGTGTGAGACCAGTCTTGCACTCTTTTTTTTTTTTTTTTTTTTGGTCGTGGGGGCTGAACTCTGGGCCTGGGCGCTGTCCCTCAGCTCTTCAGCTCAAAGCTAGTGCCCTACCACTTGAGCCATAACACCACTTCCACCTTTTTTCTGCTTAGGTGGTCGTGAGGAATTGAACCCAGGGCCTCATGCATGCGAGGGCAAGCACTCTGCCACTGAGCCAACTTCCCAGCCCATTGCACTATCTTTTTAATTTGTGGATCTATAATTTTTCAAATTAAAAAGGAGAGAGAGAGACAGACAGAGACAGACAGAGAGAGACAGAGAGAACACTTTTGAGAGCATGGCAGGCTATATTTTGATGCAGGAGTTAGCATAATGATACACACCACCACACATGAAACAGCAGGGCCTTCATTTAGAGCTTCTCCACTGTCAAATGAAACTCACTGCCCACCTGCCTCCTTTGTACTCCCTACACATGATTACTTTCTTTCCCCTCCCACTTTAACTGAAAAAAAATTCAATTCCCTTTGTTCTCTCTCCAACACTCTCTATATTGGGTTGCTGATCAATTATACACCCTTCTCCCGACACCAAGTGAACAGAGGGAATCATCTTCCTGGCCAGAAACTACCATGTGACACAAATAGGGATAATCTGAGTCTTTGTAGGGGGTGATTCTGGGATCTCTGTGTTTCTGGGCTCAGAGTGGGAGACCTCCAAAACACACCCCCTGGGGGTACCACTCAGGGGTCTAACATTTCATGCAGGGGGAAATCAAAGCAGAAGTCCAGAAGAAGAAGCTGTGAGAAAGAGCAACATGTCAAGTCTACACCAGTCAATGCAAGAAGGGCTTCTGTGGCCACAGACCAGCCAGGATGGAAGAGCCACAGCCAAGCAGCACCCCAAGGAGCACCCTTGCTCCACAGACTACCACATTCTCCCCTAAGGGGCCTCCATTCTGCCCCAAACAGCTCCTGGAGCAGAGTCAGCTCCATATGGGGGGGGGGGGTCACCATATCTCATTTCATGGAAGCCTTCCTGGTCTCCCTGTCACTTCCTGGCTGTGCAGAATGTAAAATCCATTAGAAGGGGCCAGAGACTTACAGCACCAGGGATTGCTGAGCAGAACAGAGAGTCCCTTTGCAGCAGCAGGTCAAAGCTACAGAGCTTGGGGAAAGGGTCCCAAGGAGCCAGAGTCTGAGAATGGGCAAGTCTAATGGAAGTCAAACCCTGAGCCAGATCCACCTCTTCTAGGGAAACGGGTTGGGTGAGAGATGAGGGAATGAAACAAAAGCCCAGCCTGTTGTCCATCACTGTCCCCTATACCATGCTAGGGTCCCAGAGTCCTTATCAGAAATGGAGTTTGGCTAGGTCTGCCTAAAACCCTAAGGCAATACAAAATGTGTTTTTTGTACCTCGAACACAAGATATAATTGCAGGGTCTCTCCTCCCTCTCTCTGAGCTTCTCTCTTATTTCCCACCTTCTTCTTCCTCCTCTTTTTTATTTGCACTGTGTATCTCCATCTCTCTGTCTCTATCTCTCTTTTCCCTCCCTAACTGTTCCCCCCCAGGCAAGCTAAACAGAACTGGCAGAGTCCTGTCTCTGACCTACACCCCAATCCCAGCCCCTGTCACTTCCCCTTGATGACCTGGAAGCCCCACTTCTCCCTGCCCTGTCCCTGGCTCCCAGCCCCTGCCACCCTGGACTGCCAGGCTCAGCTAAGGCCAGGCTGTTTTGGAAAAATGCTGGGAGGTGGCACAATGTGCGAATGTGCGGTCTTCTAGTTCCCTCCAAGCTGGCGCCTCAATCCCTGTACAAACAGTGTCAGTGTTTGCCTGTCCACTGGGGCCGTGTTCTCCTAGCCAGGCCAGGAGATCCCGGGGCAAGCGTCTGGCTGGAAGACAGCAGGCAGGCGGGCAGACGTCACTGACCCATCAAGCCCCTTGGGGAAAGACAGGGGCAGACGAGTAATGAGGGGGCCTGCCACCCATCAGCCCGCCAGCCCCATGGCAGGGTGGTCAGACCAAGGGCAGCACAGGGCCACGCTTCCTACACCACATAGGACATTCCACTCTGAGAAACTACTACCTTCCCTGGCCAGGTTCCCTTGTATTCTGGGCTTTTCGCTGCCAAAGGAGCTCCACCATGGGCCAGGGGCAGTGGACAGGACACAAGACTCTCCCTGGCTTCATTGATGCCACTCTAAAACTCTGCTTTTATGGAAAATAGGGGATTCCTCCTGCTCCTCCATGCCCTGTGGAAGACATGGTTAAGGTTAAGATGGGGAAGTAGGGAGCAGAAAGGGCTCAGAGTAGACAAACATTGTTAAATGTCTGAATGGTCAGGCTCCGTGACTTGGGCTGACAAGGGTGTGTTTGGGCCACTGTGCTGTGAGCTGAGTGGAGTCTGTAGCCACAAACAGGCAGCTCAGGCATGGACTATTATTCCTCCCTGGCAGTGGGAAAATGACCAGGGGAGGCAGAAGCTAGGAGCATCCTGGGTGTCTGAGGCTCTTCCTGATTCCTAATGTGCAGCTTGGAGGGAGGGTGGGAAGTGAGGCTTCATCTCTCAAACCATGACAAGGTTTTGGTCATCAAATGGACTTACAGAATACCACAACCCATAGCAGAGTACTGCTCCCTAGGCTATACCATCCTAGGGTTCAAGACCTCCAATTCCTGCAATACAGGAATTGCCTATATTGTTTTTGATTTGGGTTTCAGCTTCTTTGCTGGTCCTAGGGCATGAACTCTGGACCTGAGCACTGTCCCTGACCTAATTTTTCCCAAGTCTAGCACCCTACGTCTTGATCCACAGCTCCACTTTTGTTTTGTTTGGGTTTTTTCTTTTTTTTTATTGTTAATTTGAGATGACTCATGGATTTTCCAGACCTAACTAACTTTGAACCAGGATGCCCTGATCTCAGTCTCCTGAGTATCTAGAATTATAGGCATGTCCAATAGTAGTTTAACCTTTTTCTAAAATTTATATGACCATGGTATCTACTTGATCCCACAACAGCCATGAAACCGACTTTGAGAGATGACAACATGGTGGTTGAGGCTGGAAGTCACTACAAGATCTTGGTCCTCTAGTGGTCATCTATCATACATCCTCTAGTTGTCAAGGGCACGTGAGTGTCCTTGTTCAACTTAGATGAGCTCTGAGGACAGGCCCTTAAAGTTCCAGGTCACTGGGTTTAGCCTAGAGATGTCTGGCCTAGGTAGCTAGTCATGGCTATACTCCACCAGAGGTAACTGGGGAGTATCCTTCCAGCTGCTCCATCTCCCCAACAAGCCAGTCTCTGACACCTTTCTCTCCCCAGGGAACTAACTCTCGCCAAGGCCCAGCCATAGCCTTTTCTGTGCCTTCAATTCCAGAACAAGTGGGCTGCTTCTCACAACACAGGATTTATGGAAGAACTTCCTCATGGTTGTATGGGACACGAATTTGGGTGGCCTGGAAAGGCCCTTTTAGCGATACTAAAAGGCAGAGACCACAGAGGCAAAGGAAACAAGAGTGAGTCCCCACGGTTTATTATGGATGTCTATAAAAGAGCCACAGTGAGTATTTCCAAAATCACAAAATGCACAACATTCTTATTTTTAATATGCAACATGGAATATTATATACAGATTAAAACCACATGACAGCCAAAACACTCACACGGCACCAGTTCATATCAAAACAAAACACACAAGTGCTTTTTCAATATTAAAACAACTGTGATAAAAACATATTAATATTTTGAACCATGTTTACAATAGAGAAAAATTCATACTTTACTAAATAACAAATATTTAACAGCAAAAACTTTATACTAAATATCTATTTTGAAATTATAACAAAAATAGTACTTATAATAGTTTATAAAGACAGACACAAAAATTATAACATTTATGGGAAAAAAAGTTTTGTGTATAAAATAATATTAGAGCAATCTGGGCAGGGTCAGGATGGTGCCCAGAACATAAACGCCAGCGCCCAACATCGAAAGTGCTTCATTCTGCAAGCCCGTCAGGAGGAGTTTTGTGGGTATTTCATCTTTTTTCTTTTTTAATATCAAGTTACAATAGTTAGGAAACGCAAGTGAGCAAACATCATCCGACTAATGCTACCACTAGAAACACACACACACACACACACACACACACACACACACACACACACACACACAGGAACACCAAGACTGGAACCCAAGGCAGAAGATCAATGGAGACATTAAAACAATGAAATCCTGCCAGCCAGGCAAGAGCTTTTACTCCTTCCTCTGGTTGCCTTTGAGACCCAGCTGGGCAAACTAACCTTTCTTCCTCCTTCACAGGGATCTCCCTCAGCTCTTCCTTCTCTGCCCTCTCCCAAGCTGCCTGCTCCCAAGGAAAGACCACAGGGACTTCCCACCCCTACAGCACCCTGCCCCTCAGCAAGGCCAGCCTCACTGCACACTCAGTCTGCAACAGTTGGTTCAGGGCAAGTGGAATCAGCTTAAGGAAAAAGGGACTTTTGCGGGGGTAACGAATTCTAGAGAACCCTAAAGCTATTTTGTGTGTTTTGTTGAGTCTTCACATAATTTGGTCTGTTTTTCAGAATTGGGGAGGGGGCTTAAGGGGTTTCACTAATTTCTTTAAAATTCCAAGCCATTTTTTGCCAGTAATATTTGTTCCATACTGTTTTAGTAGTGAAAAAAAGAAGGAAGCAAGTAAATGCTCATGCCAGTCATCTTACCTCCTCAAAAGGCTGAGATCTAGGGATCACTATTTGAAGCCAGCTTGAGAAGGAAAGTCTGTAAGAGTCTTATCTCCCATTAACCATGAACCGAGTCAAGAGTGGAGGTGTGGTTCAAGTGGTAGAGCACCCACCTTTAATGAAAAAGCTAAGGGACAATGCTCAGGCCTTGAGTTCAAGAGGAGGGGGAAGAAAAGGAGAAGGAGGCAAAACCTTTAGGAGTTAGAGTGACAGGACACTGTGGACAATGAGCCCTCATTCCTATAGAGTCCTCCCTTGGTGGAGGAGATGACACTGAGCCAGCAGAGCGCTGCTCCACATTGGCATGTTACTGAGTTCCTCCTTATGCGATACTCCATGTGCTGAGTTACTCCATATGTGATTCATTTTTCTTGTAAAAACAATTCATTGCATTAATCATATTAAAAGATGAATAGAGAAACCCAGAAAGCAAAGAAAAAAATCTAAAAACAGACAAAATTGCTTAGAGACTCACCAAAGGACCCCCCCCCCCCAAATAATTGCCTGGCGGCATTCCAAATTGCCAACGTTCAAATGCCAGGTGCAGGAGCTACTCCTCTTCCACCCAGTCATCCTGACTGGCCCATCTGCAACCAAATCACTTCTGACAAATCCCACATACTCCTCCAAGCTCCTCCTGCAGCCTCCCTCCCACAGTGTCTACAGACCACACAGGGCCTGAGGCAGCTCTGATGGAGGCTGTCTCTACCTTACCTCCCCCTGCTTTCATCTCCTCCCCATTCCCCTGAGCTGGGCTTTGGCAGACAGTGGCATAGAGGTGGAGGGGCTTCAAGGACATCTTTCCAAGGTCTAGGGGCAAAGGGTAAGACTAAGGAGAGGAAGATGGAGGTCTTCAAGCCCCATTAGAATGAACCCGTATCCTTCCCTATCTTCATGAGTGGCATGAAGGGCACTGGGTGAACAGTGGCCCAGACAGAAATTATGGCAGTCTCCAAATCCACATGAACAGGGCTTTAACAGGACAGGGAGGAGGCAATGGACAATTACCCTAACTCCACCAGGGGACACCAGGCAGAGATGCTGCATTTCAGCTTTTAGGTTTAAACAAAATCATTTGTCTACAGCCCACGAGGTCTGGGCCAGGGGGTCTTCATGTGTTTGACCAGAGATCCCCTCCTTTTCATTCCCAGAAGTCCTTCTGGTGACTGCTAGAATGGAAGCTAGGGGATGGAAAACGTGTTTGCTTCAGACCTCAGGTTGGCCAAGATCAGTGAATAAATATGGGCTGGGGGGGAGCATGAGCCAGGGATATCATTGGGTCCCTATAGGAAGTGGCCCTCTAGGAGAGGGTCTCTCCTGGGGGTGAGATGGGGATGGCAGCGTGCTTTCCCAGGCCACTGGGGAAGATGCTGGGGAACACATCTGGGGCTCCTGAACCCCAAAGGAGAGAACAAGTAGCAGCAATAGACAATTTTGAATGTCCAAACTGGCAGCTCTAGGTAGGGGTGCTCTCCAGACGAGTGGCAACCCCTTCCCCGTCCAGATTTGCCTGTGTTGTTGGATTACCCAGCATGCTGTGCTTCCAGCAGCCACAGCAGGTGGGCACTGACTGAGCCATAGCAAAAGGGAGTGGCAAGGGTGCTAAAGAAAGTTGGGGGGGGTGCTCTCTCCCTCCCCAGTACAATCACCTGGCCACCAAGGACAACACAAGGGACAGAAGGGACTGTTCAGAACATCACAAGCACACACTGCAGCAAGCCAACTGGCACTAACACTGTCACGGGCATGCAGAGCCCCAGCCAGGCCCTATTCCGGGAGCTAAGCTGGGGGAGAAGGGGAGGAAGTGGGGAGACTCTGGAGAGAGCAGACGTCAAGAGGAGGGCCCGCTTCTGGGAAAGATGGGGCCCTTTTGGCTTTGGGGAGGATTTGTCAGGGTAGGGGGCAGAGGAGGGCAAGTATGGGCATACTTGCCCTCCTCTTCCAGCCCCTCCCACACACAGGTTTCTACCTCTGTCACCCCACCTCTGCTAGGCTGGGCTGAAGCAGGGCGAGGCCCTGAGCCCAGCTACACTGTGGCACTCAGCATGGCCTCCGTCTCTGGCAGAATCTTATTCTGGTTGGAGTCCAGGCCAAAGAACTTGACACTGAGGCCATCCACTGGGTGGAGGACAGGGACCAAGGTAATGCGAGGGAAGGTCCGGGTGGCCAGCTCAAAGCGGCTAGTGCTGGCCAGTTCCACTGCCAGAACCTTCAGGAACAGCTTGGCCAGGTGCTTGCCCAGGCAGGTTCGGACACCGCCACCAAATGGGAGATAATGGAAGCGGCCATCTTTATCTTCACTCCGTGCCTGGCTGAAGCGGTCAGGGTCAAACACATTCACGTCTTTGAACACCGGTGCCGTGTCATGGGTATCCCGGATGCTGTACATGACACTCCATCCTTTGGGGATCTGGAAACCCTGGAAGAAGATGAGGAGGGCCAGGGAATGGAGAGGTGAGAACCAAAGGAGACCAGGAGAGGGTCCAGACCCACCTGTCTGTTCCAGTCCCCAGACTGTCAAGACTGCTCTCCCTAGAGGTACTCCACAGTGACCCCTAGATATAGTCTGCCTCTCCACACGCTAGTCCAGTCTCCTGTGTATGCATGTCACATGTAACTTCACATATGAATGGAGGCTGGCTTCATCCCACTCTTCATTGGAGTTACTTCTTTCCCATTGGGCTTTAAGCTCCCTGCAATGAAGCACTGTCTCTCTCTCTCTGTCACAGCATGGTACCCAAGGGGCATCTTTCTTATAGATCAGATCTTCTCAACCCCAGCCCATGGGGCCCAGACTCACATCAAGCTCGAAGGTCTGCAGCACAGTGCGGTAGCCACCAGAGACAGGAGTGAAAAGGCGCATGACCTCCTTTATTACACAGTCCAGGTAGCGCAGCCCACTGAGTGTGTCCAAGCGCAAGGTGCCTTCGCAAGCACAGCCACCACTGTGGAGGATGCCCTGGGTCCGCAGCTCTTCACGCAGCTTCTCCAACACCGCTGGGTGCTTCAGCAGCTGCATGATAAGCGAGGTACTGGCGCTGGCCGTGGTGGCATAGGCTGCGAAGATCAGCTCCAAGGTCCCATCCTGCCACGGCAGAGAGGTGAGATGTTATTAGCCATCTGAGACAGCCAATCAGGACAGCCCATTCTGCCGGTGTCCCCAGGGCCACGGCCAAGCGAGAAAGAGATCCTCTCTGCTTCCTGTGGCCAGTTCTGCTCCTCTGAGTCTCACATGCTGGAGCTCTGGCATTACTGTGGACCCAAGGGGCACCGTCAGACCCACAGGCTAGGCAGGAAACACACTGCTATGGGCAGAATCACTAGGCTGTTAGTTTTTTATGTAGAGCTCCTTCTCATTCACTGCTTGATTCCCGGACAGCCCCACCGAGTATAGTGAGCTCATGGGAGAAAAGAGACCAATTACAGGAGAGCTATGTGGGCATGAGCAGTGGCTTATGGACTCTAAATCCCAGCCTAGCCCCAACTCCCTCTTCTATCCCCAGGAGATACACTATTAGAGGGATAGGCAGAGAATGGAGCAGCCCAGGATCATAGCTATGAATGCCTAGGAGAAGACTACAGTGAGTAGATTATGGGGAGGTGGCCCTGGAGAACTCAGAAGATCCTTCAGATTTAGCTAGAAAGCAGCACACTGGGCCCTAGGGTTCCATGGAAAGGCCCTGATGGGTTACCTCATTTTAATCCCTGCATTTTTCAAATTTATGTGCTCGGGCCAGAGAGAGGATAAAAGGGCCTGGGTCCCTTACTTGTCATGACACTGAGACTTCTTATAAAATGGAAGTTGCCCCAGCCTTTCTGGCTGCCTAGTCCAAAGAGGGGGTGAGGGGAGCACTAGAACTAAGGTATGGGAAAGCAAAGACCATGGGGATGTGAGGCCTCTGGTAAGGCATCATTTATAGGGAGAATCTGTGAACACCTGGAAAGCCAGCTGGAAGGGAAGCCAGACAAGGTGGAAGGGAAGCCTGCTTGAGCCCAGTAAAAGTGATCCAGGTGACTGAAGCCCAGCTAGGCTGGGCACGTGAAGTATTACCAACTGGGAAAGGCTGGGGAGTTAGAGGAGGGGTTTGAGCTAGGTCTAAATTTTCCCAGGGCTAGGGCTGACCTCAAGCAAGTGGCTTCCTTGTGGGCCTGCCTTTCCTTAGGTAATCTTCCAAGGTTATTAGGGCTATGAAGTAGACTGAGAGGTGAACTTTGGGGAGAAGCTTCAAGGGCAAAGTTGTCAGCAAGTCACTGACACAGCCTGCTCAGAGAGTCAAGGACCAATTTCCAGCATCTTATTAAAAACAATAGACACAGCTGTGGGCAAGACCAAGTGCATATTTATAGCCTGGCCACTGTGGGAATCCACATGGTATGTACAGTCCTGAGATGTCTCCTGCTATGGGCAGAGGAGGGTGGTTCCATGCATCTTCACAGGTAGACCAGAGCAGGTGGAAATGGCCAGACATTCCTCCACCCCAAAGAAAGCTCCAGAATAAAATGTGGGCACAACAGGAGTGAGCCCGCCAACCTTCAACTCCTGCATGGTCATCTCCTTTCCATGCTCCTTGCTGCTCTCAATGAGGATGTCCAGTGCATCTGAGTAGTCCTTGCCCTGGGTGCACTGCAGCTTCTCCCGGATGGCCTTTTCCAGGCTCTTCTGTAGGATCTGCCGAGCCTGAATGCCCTGAGGAAAGATGGGACTGTCAGCCATCCAGCTATGGGTGGGCTCCCATCTGAGCCCGGGGATTGCCTGGAGAAAGCTCTTGTCTGCACCACCACCACCACCCCCTGACTGACATGTCTCCCCTCTGCTGATGTGCTGCTGTTCTGTCTGCCCATCTCTGCAGTCAGCACCCCTTCCCGGAGGGTGGACTTGTGGAAAGCCCATTCCTTCTCCTCCTAGGTCCTGACTGCTCACCCTTCGGTAGCCGCTGAAGGGCAAATCCACAGGCAAGGAGAAGACATTCTCCACAAATTGCTGGTAGACCTCGAAGAGGTGTCCCAGTTCCTCCTCAGGGATGCTGAAACCCAGCAGTACCCGGATGGCCATGCGGAAGGTAAGCTTCTGTGCCTCCTGGTACACATTGATGGCCTCCGGCTGGCTACTCCAGGCACGTAGAGTGTCCTGGATCACCAGCTGGATCTTGGGCAGGTAGCTCTCCAGGGCCTCATGGCTGAAGATCTTGGAGAAGACCTGGAAAGCAGAGACATTGGCAGTCAAGTATGAATCCCATGACTGCAGCCTGGGAACCATTCCATCTTCAACTCCTCCCACCAGAGGTTTCCAGGAAGGGCCCCCTATTTTAAACCCCTGTCCTACTCCCTGGGTCTGAAAGGAACGCAGAGAAGAAGACGGTTAGAACATGATTCAAGCAGTTTTACTCAAGGTCAAACCTCATCTTGTAATTCGCAGGGTGGCCTGAGCTGGCATCTTCGTTCTCAGCCCCCAGAAGGGTGTGTCTGCACACAATGGCAAAGTCTTGGGAACGAACTGCAAGGTCCAGCTGCCACTGAGTCACGGGGGTTATAGCTATCCCGTCCTACAGGAGTTTGACTTGGGACTAGCATCCCCTCTGATAAAGGGATCCATTCCAGAACCCAGGATAGAAATGTCAATAGTGAGGTATAGACTAAGTGGACAGGGAAGAGGTGAGAAAGTAGGAAGTAAGTGGCTTTCCTTCTGTTCCATTGGTGGGAAGGCTAGTGCACAAGCAGGACTTTCTGGGAACCAAAACTGTCCTCAGGCCTTGTGAAACAACACTGAGGTGGAGACTCTAGGGGGTTGAACAGCTGTGCAATTAAAATGTCTTCAGTGCAGTTAAGTCTGGAGGCAGGGGGATGAAGGCGGTGGCTTTCCACACCCAAAGATTGCAAACACACACAGAAGCTGTTTTAATCTTCCAGGGCCATCTTAATACCCAAGGAATCCCTGTTTCCACCTCCCAGCCTCAAGCCCTCCTGATTGGCTCCACATCCCCTCCCCCTATTCCCTGCACATGTTTTCACACTGCTACCTTCCATGTAGAGGGGAGGGAGAAAGTTAGTTTATTTACTGACAGCGTTTGGGTCTCACTTATAATAACCAACAGCCTCCATTCCCCACAGGGTCCAGAGCAATCAGAGGTGTCCAACCCCCACACTGTAGCCAAGGAAAAAGGTCACGGAGGGAAGGCAGAGAGAGGCGGGGCAGTGCAGAGGAGAGAGCCCCCACTGGCCCTGTACAAACAACATACACGCGCCCGCCCTCCCTGCCTGCCCCCCAAAAACAACCTGCACACAAACTGTAAATGTGAGAATTTCCCCTGCAGTCAGCTTGAGGAGGAAAAGGTAACATTTTCCTGGCCTGGGCCCTGCATGGCTAATGGGAGGGCTGGTTAGAAGGAATAACAGTGCTGGCCCTTCAGTGGCCCAGCCAGACTCACACAATAGCACTTTCATTCCGAAATTCCCGGTGGGCAGAGAGGGGGAGGGAGGCCAGTGAGGGGCAGAGACTCCCACACTGTTCTGTTGGGGCCACTTTTGCCACAAAGGGACAGTTGAAAGGTAGAAGGGTGGTGACAGAAGGGTCCCTAGATCAACTCAGGCCTGGAAGAATCAATCACACTTTGCCCAGTTTTTTGTTTTGCTTTGTTTTGTTTTGGGGGTGGGGGTGCCGGTCTCAGAGTATTTCTAGGTGGACTTCAGCTGCCATTTCCCATCAGAAGGGTATCATAAAGGCAGTGCTGGGTGCCTCAGCCCCTTACTATGGTGCCTTTAGGATTCCAGAATCAGCCCCTGATCAAGCGGTCTTAAGGAGAAGGAGTGGAACCCAGCCAACTAGGGGCCTTTACAAAACAGCAAAGAGAGCAGGAGGCCAGTGCAAAGTGCTCCTGGGGGCTCAGCAGGCATAGCAAGAAACAAGGCCGGGAGGTGGGACCAGGCCTCAGCAGGGAGGCTGATGGTGGAGCAGGAGAGTATAAGCAGGCTACCCTAGCCCAGAACTGGCCAGCCCAGTGCAGGGTACCAGAGGTACTCTCTTGGAAGAGACAAGGTTGCCAGTGCACAGGGGACCTCAGCCCAAAGATGTATACATAGATGGGGTACAGTGCAGTGGCCATACTCACAAAGACCAACTGGAGTCAAAGCCAAATAAAGGATAGACTGGGCACTTAGAGACTTGAGTTTTAACCAGGGATCTTCCAGTAATTAACTGTGTGACCATGGCCAAGTCCCCTTATCCCTGAGTTTAATCTATAAAAAAATGATGAGCTTGAACCAAGTAACCTCTGGGATTCCTTTCAACCCACAGAGCACCTGAACACTTTTTCCAAGAAGATACTGACCCCCTCCAAAATAGCCAGTACCCAGAAAAGCACATGAAATCTGGAGAGTGACTGCCAGTTCTCCATACTGACAACTCACCCTGGCTACAGGGTCCCAGAAAGGGCCATATCAGGGTCGTGAATGGGAGCACACCAGGGCCTTCGAACTCTGAGGAGTGGCCCATGCAGGACACTGACAAGCCCTGCCTGCCCCACAGGTTGCACTCCCTGCGCCCTCTAGCGATTGCTGGCTAAATCACAATCCTGGTTTAGGGGCCAAGGAAGACAGGGACAACCTGGGAAGGCAAAGGATCCAGGAGGACCTGGAACTAAGAAAGCACTCCAAGCCAGAAAGCCTATACTTGGCCCTCTGGCAGGAAGGGGTCCTAAGCAAGACCAGGCACACATTGCCACTCTGAACCTGCAGGACTTTGGGCTGTGGCTCTTCAAAAGAAAACCAAAGACAAGACTAGGGTGCTTAGCCAGACCAGGGACTTGCCAAGAGACAGGTCATTGCCTCTCTAGGGCTGAATTTCCCAACAGGTCTCATGAGGGGGTTCTGAGGTCTCTTTCTATTTGCCTGTCTCCTGTTTCTCCACAGAATCCTCCTATGGTGGAAAAATTACCCCCCAAATGAGAAGCCAAAGAAAGGCAGGTGACAGAGTATCGACCTTGCTAAGGCCACCAACTCCATGCTCCTGACTCCAGCCCAGCTGTTCTACAGGCATCAGGGCCTCCCAGGCACTGGGAAGTCTCCAGGACATCATCTTTGGGTCTGTGCCCAGGGTTAACAACGAGGGCACTTCCCCAAGCTGGGCAGCCCAGAAACCACCGCCCACCACAAAGGACAGGCAGAGGCGGAGGTGCCGGCCAGGGCAGAGGGAGGCCCAGGGCTGTGTCAGGGTGTGCTGGGTCTGATGCCATTGCCTGGCTGGGGTCAGGACTAGGGCACACTGGGAAGGTGCCTGGGAGTGGCTCCGTGTGAAGAGAGGAAGAGTTCCAGCCCCCAGAGCTGCTGCCCTGACCACAGACATCACAAGAGCCTGGATTGCTTTGTTTCCCTCTGGGGCTTCCCTGGAATTCCCAAAAGTGAGCCAAGAATACCAGACAAAGGTCATTGGGAACCAGTCCAGACCCAAGCAAAGCCCTGCAGAGGGAAGTGAAGGTATGGACTTTGTACCAGGGTTGGTGCTGGGGGAGGGAGAGAGCGGAGGGTCTTCCAGGGGACTTTGTGGGAGTCGCAGGGACAAGGGCAAGGACAAGAGAGGATGGGCTCCTGTCTTGAAGGACATCTGTCTTGAAGGACTCTTCAGCCTCCACAGTTTTCTCCCAGAGCCCACAGCCCCGTTCTCACAGTCTCTAGAATGAAAGCTAAGTCCACAGCAAGGGTCTAAGGGCACCCCCTAAGCTATCATTTTTTTCCCTAAAAATGTTTTCTCCCCCAACCAGGCCTTTCTGCCTTCTTGTTTCTTGTCCCGTGCTTCTGGGAGCTGGGAGCCTCTCTGTAAGCCACCACAGCCCCGTGTGGTCAGATAACCTCCCACTGTCTGCTGGCAGCTGTGGAAGGATGGACAAATGGATGGGCAGCCGCAAGAGCGGGCAAAGGCTGAGAGGGAGCCCACTGCTTGGCCAGTGACTCAGACTGGGAGGAATGGAAGAAGCTGCCCAAGAGGGATGGGAGCCTGGGCAGGCCACCGGAGCTTCGGCCTGTGGAGTGGAAAGAATAACAGAAGGCAGGCAGCCATCCATCCACACAGTGGTGACGCCAAGGTGTGTGTACTTTATACTCAAATAAGGAGGGAGACAAGCGAGGACGTCATCCATCCAGCTGCCTGCATTTCCACTGGGCCATGGCTTCACTTCTCCTTGGGAGGGCAGGACTCAGACAGTCCCTTTATCCAGCCTGTGCTTGTCCCTTCCCTAAGTCTATTGGAGCTGAATGCCACCCCCACTGCTCCAGTCCTCCACATGGGGCTGTCAAAGCAGATGGTAGAAAAGGTGAGGCAGTATTTGCAAATACTTGCTTGCCCCCCCCATCCCCATTTAGAAAAAGGTTACCTAGCTGTTTTTCAGCCACAAGAAAATCCCCTTAGAAAGCGAAAACCAGAGGGGAAAGGGCCCTGCTGAGGTTCCAGAGGCCAGTCATGACTGGCCACACTTGGTAGCATCTTTGAAACTCCCACCACTCCAAACCCTGTGGCACTGCTAGCCAGTCCTCATGGACTCTGAATTTATCCATAACTTGAGGGGATGCTCCTCTATGTTGCTTTTAAGGGTAAGGCCATCTCTTCTGGCTATTCCAGTTTGTTAGCATTTCTTAGGTCCCTGGAGTTCCTTGTTTTAGGCCTAGGAAACTCAGAATGTATGCAATGACTGGCACAGGAGAGGGGGGGTAGGGGGTAGGGGGGCAGCTAAGGACAAGAGTAGACCCCAGCAAGCTCCTCAATATCAGCCATGGCCATATTTGCCTTCCAAGTCTGGGAAAGCTAGCAAACACATCATCACTTGAGCCTTGGACCCCACCCCATTCTGGGAGAAGAACACAAAAAGGAAGGAAAACAGGAGGAGGGTCCCCCCCACGCCTAACCCTCCCACCAGCCTGCTGGCTGGCGCAAAGGCAAGCCCAGCAAGAGGCTCACTCCCAGATACCCTGGCAATTGACTGAGCTTCCTCCCCCAGCTGACCTTCAGGGAGATCCGCTCCTGCACACCCCCACCCCAGCATCCACTAGATTCACTTACTGGTGCTACAGTAACTTTTGATTGAAGGACTTGGGCTGATAGAACAAAGACTGTCCTGGAGCTGAGCTCCTAGTGACTGGGCTGCCATCCATGCCACACACCTTCCCACCTTATCAGCTTGGAGCTTCTGCCCTGAACTGAGCCTGTTGGATATGACTGTGCAGACAGAGGCTTATATGAATTGGATGCAAAGGACCTTTAGAGTCAGGTATGGGTTTCTATTTAATCATGGGTACTCCTGGCTTTGCCCTTCTGCTGGGGTATCTCATGGCATCTATATCCTTACATAAAGCCTAGTATGCACTGGGTTTCTAAGAGAAGTGAAGTGGCCCTGAGCCTCATCCCCACTCCACGATGGACACCCAAGGCCAGGTTAGTAAAGGACAGCAAGTGAGTAGGTGGGCTTCTTGATTGCTACTGCCAAAGCCTGTCTACTTCACCTTCTAGCTACTCCAAGTGCCCAGCCACTCCAAGGCTAAATACAACACTTGAGATGTTCCTGAGATAGTCTTTGGGTCTGGAGTATATTGAAGCTGTTCATTTTAATGCAAAGGTCTATCTTCATAAAAAGAGGAAACACCCAATTCTGCCCTAAACTGGCATCTGAGACTTCCAGAAGTACCCCTCTCCCTTCCCAAAGTCTCTGCCAACCCTCTTCCAAAGCAGAGTACATCCACTCTTCTAGGGCAACATTCCAATGTCGCTATAGGCTCCTTCACAGACAGGACTCTCCACTGCAAATGAGGGAGAAGAGAGGAAGCAGGAGGCCCTGGCTTAGGGACACAGGCCTGGTTTTCCATAAGTGATACTATGAAACTGGGCACGACTTTCTGGATTTTTGCCTGGCAACCCCACCCCTTCTGGCTGTAGACCACCAGGGCAGCCAGGGCAAACACCTGGAGTGCAGTGATGGCAGTGAGGAGCCCCCTCCCTACACATCTGGTCAGACCTCCCAGAGAAGGGGTGGGTCACCAGCCCCAATGGAAACACTGACGTTTCTAGTTCCTGGCCAGCCAAGGCCCCTGCACACCTGGGCCTGTTTCCTGCACATACATCCAAACTGGGCTGGGGTCTGGCCCCGCAGCACATTCTCCAGCTAGGTTCCTGATTGCAGGGTGAACTACAATGTGCATGGTACCCAGCAGCCCCAAACTCTGGTTACATAGTGCTGGCCTTGGGTCCAAAGAATGGCTATTTTCTCCAGGACCGTATGGATATTCAGAAACAAGGTCTCTGTGTATCCTTTACCTATTTTCTTGCCAGGTTCTACTTCTTGAAGGCAAAGATCAACTTTCCTGCTTGCCTGTAATGCAAGGTCCTCTATGTACACCAGTAAACTCAGAATTATAGGTCATCACTTAGGGAGATGTGTGATGGGGGAAAGGTCCTCTGTCCAGTTGACTTACTCAGATGACCCACACACCCAGCAATGGCACAACACAGAAGGGGCTCTGCACTTGTTTCTTGCCCTCAGGCAGGATGAACTGGCTCCTGGTGATTTTTCAACTCAAAGATGCTCGAGCCAGGAGCTCAGAAGGGGAAGCTATGGATCCCTCTCTCCTGTTCTCAGTTTTTGGTCTCACCCCGACTCCATCTCTTCTCACCCTGTGTATTTCTCTGGCACTGTTCATCTATTCTACCCCCTCACCTACAAATGCATAGTATAAGCCAAATCTCTGGCTTCCGATCACATAGGTGATCTGAAGGCAGGGTGAGACTCCAAAGCAATAGCCTCATTCTAAAGCCTACTGCACATTGCTGCCCCCCTGGACGGGGGGTGGGGTGGGTGGTCTCAAGTGGTCCTGGCTAAGCCTTCTTTTCCCTCCAAGCACCTCACTCCCATCCCAGGATCTTTTCTTAGATGCCTGACCTATTCAAGTCTCACTCAACCTAAACCTCAGTGTCCCCTTCAGTTTGAAAGCTTCTGTAAGAACAAAATGGAAAGTAATCACTTGGTTTGGAGCTGGCTTCCTGAATCTTTAGATCATTCACTCTTTAGATCATTCCAAATGGTGGAGTCCCAGGGAATAAGGCGGAAAAAAAAAAAATCTCTGTCCAAGCTCCCTACAGTCTCCAATCTTGTACTCTTCCCCCTCGGCCCCCTTCCCCCCACCCAGTTAATACAACTTGAGGATGCTGCGGTAACTGCTTCCAGCTCTGAGTGAGACTGACGAAAGAGAGGCCTCTGGGAGCAGCCTTCCAGTTTCTGAAATACCTGCTTTATCAGGAGATTCCTAGGGGTGACATGCATACCAGATTCCTGTACGATTTTTCCTTCTTTTGTCTACCACAGAGAATTATTACCCTTCAAGGGTGGCTCGGGGGTAGGAGGAGATGCTTTTGTGAACACACCTCTAGTACAGACGCCTCCTGGAAGGTGTTCCCCGCCCCCGTTGCCCCTCCCCTCCCCCCGGCCCTGCGCTCACTCCTCTGGGAGGTGAGAGGCCCCCAGCTCTTTCTTAGGAAAGGAAGAGTGAGTGCTCTGACCCAGTGGAAAAAACTGAGTGGAGAAGCTGTGCAGCCTCCCTTCTGGCGGCTTCAAGCCCGCAGGCCGGCGCCCCGCCCGCCGGCTCAGCTTTCGGGTTACTGCAGTTCAAACAGCACGTGCCGCCCGCGCTCCGCGCCGCCGCGGCCGGCGCGCAGCGCAGGGAGGGGGCGGGGAGAACCGCTCCGAGCGCGCCGGCTCGCCGCCTCCTCCGTGGTTCTTGCAGTCGCTCGGGAAATCCACGGGATAAACACCCACTTTCGCTTCCTCTTTCGGGAGAGGTAGGTGCGCCGTGATCTCCGTGCGCACCCTGCCTCACGGCCCTGCCGGTGGGCGCCGGACCCCAAAGCTCACCACACCTCTCCCAGGCAAGGCCCCCCCCCAACTTCTGCCCACGCAGTGTCCCCTGCTCCCCCCGGCACACGCCTGCGTTGCCTCCAAAGCCACCTGTGGCAGGAGGTCCAGGTTTTATTTTAGAAAAAGCTCAGCCCTCCCAATTCCCGGGGTGTAACGTGGCGAAAAGGGGAGCGCGGGCCAACTGTCCCGCCCCGCCCGTTCCTTTTCCAGTTCGGTTAACACACTGCCAGGACCAGCGTGGGCAGACCCCGCGCGTTTACACTTTGTCCCAGCCAGCCATCCCCAATCGGGACGCCCAGGGGCCTGGTGATGTCCGCCGTGCGGTTGGCCAGCGAGAGGGCAGCCCCGGGAGAGGCCTCTGCAGGCCGGGGATTCCGGCTGAAGCCGTCTAGGCGAGGGGAGACAGAGGAGTCTCTAGGCTTGGAGCGCAAAGGGGGCTGGGGGGCTTCCCTGGTCTCGGTGAACAACTTACCCAGACGGGAGCTGCATGGCCCAAAAGAGTCCCGAGCCCTTACCTTGCGCTTGTTGCGGTGGATGTCGCCGATGGAGTTGGACACCGTGTTGGGGCCCAGCAGCATGCGCGCGCTGCGCGGCCACTCGGTGCTCACGAGGTGATGCTCGCCCATGAGGATCTTTCGCACGTTCTCGGCGCCCGTCACTCGGATCAGCGGCCGCCCCAGCAAGTGGGTCTTGAACACGTTGCCATACTTCTCCCTCCTGGACGACTGGAAGCCGGAGCCCTGCGGGAGCCACACACAAGACAACCTGCTCTCTCAGAGCTCACGCAGGGCCGGCGAGGCCGGGACACCGACGCCGGTCACCTCCCCTCCCCCCAACACACACGCACACAGACACTCACTCACGTAGGTTTTATTATTCCCTAGTGTGCACAGAACTGGGAAGTGGGGCCTTGAGGACAATAAACAATGCGAGCCCCAGGACACCCGGGGAACGCGGTTCTTAAGTCATGGCTTTAGGGAAGGAGAAGGTGTCTTGCCCGCTTGACCTGGAGCTAAAGCCGTCGTCTCCCACCTCTCCCCTCCCCCACGCGCCCCGCAGCCTCTCGGAATAAATATTTCCAGGCTCCAGGCCATGCCTGGGCTGGCGAGACCCCGCGGGGTGGCCGCAGGCCAAGGATTATTTATAGCGGTGAGTGGTCCGTGCCCAGAGACGGTCACTAGAGACGGGGGAGTGGAGTTTCCTCTGTTCTCCGGTGTGGCCCGCGTGGGTTCCCCCCGCGGCCCTGCGAGGGCTCTGCAGGGAGGGGCTGAGGACGGAGAGCCTCAACTTTCCTAACGTATTTTGCCCTGGAAATCACTGAGACGGACTTTCGTCACCGCCTGCACGTTTGGAACGGGAGCGAGGCGGAAGGCGCTTCCCGCGGGGCGGGTGGGACCTGGCGGGGTGCCCCGCACAGGTAACCGGATTCCCCGACGTCCGCGGCGGCCCGCGCGGGCCGAGGATCGCGGGGCCCAGGCCGGAGCCCTGAGCCCTAATGCGCTGGCGGAGCCCGCCGAGCGTCGGTACCGGAAACCGAGGGGACCTCAGAGGGGCGGGGGCGTCTCGCTCCCCTTTGACGTCGGCATTGGCCACCCCAGCCCAGGTTAACCCTTCTCCTGCCCAGGCTGGACCGGTGAGAAGGGGAGGGGCGCCACCTGTGCAGCCTTAAGAACCGGACCTACGGACCGGGGTGGTGGTCTCCCAGTGAACAACTCGGCTCCCCCTTTCCTGGATCGGTCCCCTTGCTCACTTTCCACGGAAAACTATTCTGCAGCTAGATAAAGTGCACACCTCACCCAGCCCAGCGAAAAGTGACTCTACAGAACCCGGATTCCTATAATCGCTTTTCCACATGCGCCTCCGGCCCCAGCGCGCGACCGGGAGCGAGCCGGGAACTCCCGCGCCGACGAGAGGGGGGCCGGGCCGCGGGGACTCTCCCCACTGCTGGGCCGGCCCCGCCGCGACGCCCTGGCAGACGGCGCCTATTCCTTTAAGAAAAAGCAAGGCAGAGGTGGGGTGCGACGGAGGGGGGGGGGGCGCGGATTGAGGAACGGGGTTCCCTTCCGTCTGCTTCACCGTCTCCCTCGCTCCGTCTGACTCTCCGTCTCTCCTCTCCTTTTCCTCTGTTTTTCTTTTCTTTCGACACAAAAGTTGGGTTGTGAATTTTCCGAGGTCGCCACCGCCTCGCCCCCCCCACCCCCGCCTCTGATCTGCCTAACTATAATTAAAGTGCGTTTTTTGTGGCATTAATAAAGAGTTATTTGTCCGCCGTTTCCACAGTCTTCACAAAGAGGACTTTCATAGGGGCGGCCGCTCGGGCCGAGAGTCCAATTTATACAAAAATGTTGTATTTTTAGCCCTGGGCTCTGTTTAGATGGCGCTCAGTGGAAACGGAGAGCCCTTGGAGGTCCCCCCGTAAAATCTGATAAATGACTCCGAAAAAAATAACGCTGGGATTCAGAGGGCTAGCGTTAACCCCCTCCGCCCCCTCCACCCGCACCCCTCCCCCCCCACGGCCCACTACTCCCGCCGCAGGATCCAGAGTGCCCCGGGGCGCACGGACGGGGCGGCACCGGGCGCTTCCACCACCTCGGTGCGGGCTGGATGCAGACACTCCAGATGTCCTAGTGGGATTGGTAGGGGGGGAGGGGACGGGGAAGAAGGTCAAGGAGACTTGGGGAGGGGGATCGGAGAAAGGTCAGGAAACGGTATGGGGTGGGGGCATTAACCGACCGCAGATTCCGCAGTTCAGCTCTCACCAAGCGGGAGCCCTTGCCAGTGTGAATTATTTTATTTTCTAAATTCTCGGCCGAAAGCCTAGACCACCCCACAGTTAACCCTTTAAATGTGGTGGCCAGGGAGAAATTCTAGAGATTCATTTGCGAGGGCACAGTCCGATTGGTTGAAGTGAACCCCACCCCATTGGACAAACAACCCCCCAAAGAGATGGATCAACTCTGTGACCTGGAAAGACCACAGGGTAGAGGAACGTCGAGTCCCCCTTCTCGCCCTCGCCGGGCTGTCACTTGGCCTCCTGCGGGGCGGGGCGGGACGGGGCGGGGCGGGTTGAGTGTGAGCGCGCGCACGGATTGCACGCGTCTGTTAATTTCAAGCCAAGCTTCCATACCTCTAAACCCACAGGTCCCAGCGCTCACCTTTCACATCACCTTTCCCGTGTCCGGGTTGTCTTGTTTCCAGGCTTTTGCTAACTGCCACCCACTGGACAAATGTGCGCACACACGTATGCCCAAACACACTTCCCGTGATCACCTCCAGAGGTGCCATCCCCCCCCCCCCGGAAAAATCCGGTGTGTATCAAATGGCAAAAGCGATTGTCTAGCCTTTGATGAGGTTAACTCCAGGTTAATCTGCTGTTACCTGGGCCTGGCCCTTAATGCGCCCGACTCCCAGTATCTCCAACACAGTAGGGTCGTATGGTGTCTAATAACACGCGTGCACACACACACACATGCACTGCATCTCCCACACACATCTCCCAAGTTCTCTTTTCTGCTAAACTATCCCCACCCAATAAGTAAATAGAGCCTCTCCCCCCCACCCCGAAACCTGAGAGCCCTCAGGTCTCTTGCTTCTCATTTTCCTTGGGTTAACTTCTTCCTCTCCCGCCACAAAACACACACTTGCGCGGACCGCGGACCACGGCATCTGAACCTGGCGCAGACGGCTACACAGCCGGAATGCAGCTCTGCTCTTAAAGAGGGCGATTCAAGCTGCCACTAGCCGCCCTCCCGGGTCCAACTCGGTGGACAGTTTTTGACTCCCAGCGCCCCCGTTACAACCCAGGACGCTGGAGGTGACTTGGGGGCCTGGAGGGCAAAGAGGGGGCAAAAAAAAAAAAAAACCCGGCTCTGAACAGGACGCCCCTTCGGACTCGCTCTGCGCAAGGAATCCCCGGGGCTCTTTCTTCCACGCAGCCCCGCTGGGTCGCCCTCCACCGAGGCACTTCAATCCTGGGAGTCCCCTCCGGTCCGGGAATCCCTCTTAGCAGCCCTGTGAGCCCGCGCACCAGGCGCCTGCGGTTTCTGAGCCCCGCCGCAGGCGGGCAGGGGAAACCCGGGCAACCCAAGCTGCGAGAAGGGAAGGGGCGGGGCGGGGACCGGTGCTTTCAAGCTCCCGGCGCCCCCTGGCCGGTCCGCCGCTCCGTCCGCTCGGGCGCTCGCAGTTAGCGGACCCCGGAGAGCAGCGGAGCAAGCGCGCCCTTACCTGGAGCAGCCAGTGGCCGGTCTCTCCGATGAGCGGGAAGCCCATGGAGCCCTTGGGGATGGGCAGCTTGCAGCTCTTGTCGCGGGTAGCAGCCCAGCGCAGCTGCCACAGCTGCTGCGAGACGGCCAGCAACAGCGTCACGGACACCAGGCACGCGGCGAGGGTGGCCAGCGCCGACACCAGCTCCAAGCCCTCAAAGAGCATGTTGGCGGCCGCTCGGGGGATTGGCTGTGCCGGCCTCGGCGGGGGAGGGGAGGGCCGGCCTAGGGCGGCGAGGGAGGGGAGGCTGTGGCCGGGGGTCCAGGCACCTCCAGCCGCCACGGGGAAGGAGGCTGGGGCTGCGGGGAAAGGGATCGGAGGGGTGAGTGGGGAGACTGCCTAAAGGAAGAGAGAGAGCGGGGGTGGGGTGGGAGGGGGAGACAGAAGGAGACTGGAGGTGTAACTTTGTTTGTTTGTTTGTTTGTTTGTTCCTTTACAGCGGGCGTGGGGGGCTGCTCAGGGGGCGATGAGGTGAAGCCTTGAATCAAGCTGGGGGATTTGCTGTCCCCGCAACCATCACACGGGGGAAACTTTGGAAAACTTTGTCCAGCAGGAGCCCCCTCTCTCGTAAAGCCCCTTCCCCTGGCTCGGGAGAGGAGAAGGCCGGGGACCGAGAGCTAGCGGAAAGTGCAATCAATTTGTCCAAAGAATCTCCCCCAAATTCCTACTTGGAAAAGAAAAAAAAATTCTGAATTCAAAAATTCCAACGAACCCAGAAATTTGGGGGGCGTGAGAGAAGACTCCCTAGTTGAGGCGAGTGGCGAGGCCCGAGCGCACCGTCTCGAGGCTGACCCCGGCGGAGGCCCCCGAGTCGCCGCGGCACCCGGAGGCGGGCGTGGAGGGTGAGGTGACGAGGCGGATGCTGCGGGCCCCGAGCGCGGGTGCGGAGCTGGCGGGCCGCGGCCGGGACGGGACAGGACGAAGCCGGCGACAGAGCCCCGGGCGGGCGCTGGGGCGGCGGCGGCGGCGGCGGGCGGGCGGGCGGGCGGGCGGGCTGGCGGGCGGGAGGGGTGAGGTGGGGTGGGGTTGGGGAAGGAGGTGGAAACGGGGAGCTGGGCTATTGTATCAATTAAGAAAAGGCAGTCCGTCCCGGGACGCGGTCTCTCGGCTGGCTCTGGAGTTGCTGTTGGGGAAGGAAGAGGGGAGAAGAAAAAAAAAAAAAGAACAAGGTAAAAGGAATGAAAGAGGGGTAAGGCAGGAGGAAGGATTTCAGGGCTGATGGTTTGAAAAGCGTCTCTCAATGTGATTTGCGTCCAAAGCGAGGCGGTGCGTGTATTTATATAGAGGCGGGAGGCTGCGCCGTGGGCGCCCCGCCAGCCAGCGCCCCCCTCCGCGCGCCCACAAAGCGGGAGGCGTGGTGAGAGGCCCGGCCCGCGGCCGGAGCGTGTGAGCGCCCGCCGGCCTCCTGCCCCGCCCCGCCGTCCCGCCGTCCCGCCGTCCCGCCGTCCCGCCGTCCCGCCGTCCGCCCGGACCCACTTGTAGCCGCCGCAGGATCAAACTCAGATCACCTCTCGCCTCCTCTTCCTCCTCGCCAGCGTCTCTCGGAGCCCGGCACCTACAGACGGACGATAGAAGACACGCGCGCGCACTCGCACACACACACACCGTGCGCACTCGCTTGGTGCCCGCTTGGCTGCTAGGCTACTTCCCTCCCACTTTTCCTCCCTCCGGGGTCCCCTGGCCCCCTTCTCTAGCTCCAGGCAATCCTGTGTGTACTGTAGTCTCCGCACTCCTGTGCGGGGGACAACTGGGAAGGGGGTGGACGTCAGCGCCCCTAAGATTGTGTCTAGGGTCCAGGAGCCCCATAGAATGGGGTCGGTGTGGGCTCTTACCTCCTAATCCCCTCTAGCCCGAGTCTCCATCCTTGATCCCTACATCCCCAAATCTCAGGTGTGCCAAGGTCCCCCTCCCCTCATCTGGCTCCTGACCTACAGATCTGGAGGTTTCCGGGAGTCCCGGGCTGCAGACACCACAACCTCCCCTCCCCCCACTCTGCGACACCTTCCAGACACCCCCCCCCCCACACACACACGTATTTCATATCCCATGTCCGACGCCCGCCAGCAGAGTCGGAGGAGGCCCGATGCCGGCCCAGCACAACGCACCGGGGACAAAAGCTGCAGCCCCAGCGCTCGGAGGCGGGAGGAGTCGGGTACAAACGTTCATTGATACAAATGAGTAAATAAACATGCCGGGTGAGCGCGGCCACCTTCCCAGCGCGGCCGCAGAGGGCCTGGGCGCGTGCCTGCCAGTGGCGCGCATGTGGCCCCAGGCCGCACCTGTGTGTGCGCGCCTGTGTGCAGCCCGACGTCTGTGGATAGAGGTGGCTGTCTACAGGTTTTTGTGTTCTCTCTGGAGCTCTGTGTGTGTGTGTGTGTATGTGTGTATGTGTGTGTGTGCGCGCGCGCACTCACGTATGTGTGTCGTATGGTCTCCTCTAAGAGGCTGAGTTGGAGCTGGGTACACTAACATCCGCCTGGCTAGTGCGCAGCTCTCTTGTCTCCTGCACCCTCGTTTTCCCCAGCCCCTCTAGTCTCTGGTTCACCTGCACTCCTGGAGCAATGAACTAGACATTCCGCCTTTACTTGAGAGAGATGTACGCGTAAATGAAACCAGATTCCTCTTTTAACACCTCCGGTGCGCCCAGCACAGATTCTGCTTCAGAACTCACTAGAAAAGAATGCGCGTCTAAGATGCACGCGTAAGTGTTGTCTCTGGCTGGGTGAGCGCTTCCGAGGTTGATGCGGCCAGCTAGGAGACGCTGGACGTTGCTGCGAGCTTCGGGTCATCTAGATTCACTCTCATTTTCTCTCTCTGCCCTGGAACCCCACCTGGTGGACAGTTATAGAACTACAGATCCTCGGGAAACAATTCTCACTTCTTCCCTGACTGCCTCTCCTAGTGGGAGATCTGTTCCAAAGAACTTCCCACCTCTGGGAAGTGTGGTCCCTGAGCTGGGAAGTGCCCACTATAGGAAGGGTTGTGGTTTTTTTTGTTGTTTTGTTTTGTTTTTTGCAGGACTATTAAATCTGAACTTGGTAGGTTGCCCAGGAGCAGTTAGGTCACCACTAGCCCATTCCCTGATAAGAGGATTGAGGCTGGGTTAAAAGGCTCAGTTGTTGATGTCTGGCTGTTGAAGAACCATAAGAATCTCAGTGTTCCTCTACTGGAGGTAAAATCCCTATGATGATCTTGGGGAATCCAAGAGGACCTGAACATAGCTGAGCAGGATTCAAATATATGCACCAGCAGGGCACTGAGTTCCCACAAAGGCACCTAATGACCCTGTCTACAGAATAGCAAAGCCCTACTCCCAGCTACCAACCTGAGCCCACAGAAGTATCTACTCTGTGAATAAAAAGTCTCCAATTGCCTTTTCCCTAATCCCCTGCTCCTTGGGGGCTGTGACCCATTTCCCCCTCCCAATCCTGTTCAGGTGCCAAGAAGGAATGGGGAGGGGACATGGAGATAAATTCTAAGTCCTTTGACATTGTCCAGCTACCAAGTGGGTTCCCAGGCAATGTCCATGGAGATATAGTCCCACAGCAATAGTTGCTATGTTTCCTAATTGGAGCCTTATCTCTGTTCAACTCCGAAAGAGTACTGGGAGGGGAGAGGAAGGGTAAGGAAAGCCATGCTATTCTAATCCTGTAAGACTTCCTGGAGGACGTTGTATGCAGTGAGAATGCTAGAACTGTAAGAGTAAGCTTGTTAAGAGAGTGACTAGAGCCACACGTGATGATGCCTGCTTGTAATCCCATGACTGGAGAGACTAAGGCAGGAGGGTAGTGTAGAGAATGAGGCCAGTCTGGGCCACATAGTGAGATCCTGTGTCCAAAAATAAAAGCAGAAAGGAAAATAAAAAGCTGGCACAAAGGAAAGCTGATGGCCATCTTTGCCAGTCAGTTCCCCCCAGAGAACATTATTTCAGCCTAAAGGGGACTTGTTTTGTCTTTTCCTTGTAGGTAAAATTTCACTTGTTTCTTATCATCCCAGGATTTAAAAAATTACCTCTAAGTAGTTGTACAAAGGATTCAACAATGCAGTTTATGAATACAGTGCATCTTGGTCAATATAAGAGAGGACTTTGTACTCTGATTCCAGCCTGAAGTCTGACCCAGACTTCAGTCTGATTTATAACCCTGTCCTAAAGGATTATGGCTACTCCCTCATGAACTGTACCAAAGCTGGGGTTTAATTCAACTCAAAAGATTCTGTGAGCAGAAATAGGCTCTAGGTCAGAATATTTCTTTTATTTTTGGCCTTCGAATGATATGCTGGTCCCCCATAAGAATCCCTTTCTACCCAGTCTCCCTGTAGCCAATCACAGGAATTCCTGACCACTGGTATCTCTCATGAAGCACTTTGCATGGCCACGGGCACATCTCAGGGCTTGCCTGTGCTCCTACACCCACTTTGAAATCAGTGAGGGTAGAATGGGATACCAGTCAATGGGGGAAGGGCACTGCTGGCTCAATTGGAGTTCTACCTGGAGGAAATTCATAGTGCTTGGCAGAAGAGACAGAATATGGGAAGCAAAGCACACACACACACACACACACACACACACACACACACACACACACACAGAAAGCTTCCCTGTACTGGGCTAGTCTGGCTAAAAGTCTCCGCACCCAGGCACAAAGCTGCTTGGATTGCTGTCTATCCTAGGCTTTCTCCACCCGAAGCAGTAAATACATTGCCCCTCCCATGGGTGCACTCCTGTACAGCCAACAAATCTCTTCCCTAGCTATTCTCTGATTTCATCTCCACACAACATTGAGACAACACTGTTCTTAGATAATCACATTTATCTATCACTTCTTGTACTGATGAGAAAACTGGGGGCCAGTCCAGCCTCAACAACTTCATTGTTTTATTCTATTCTCTCTCCCACCAACTTCAGCCACTCCCCAAGAACCAAGAGCTCCTTTGTTTAATGTCTATGCTTCTGACCACTGAAGCCGACAACAGAAGAAACGTTTAATTTTACATTTGATTTTGCATTGTTTGGGCCCTGAATTTTTTCATTTGAAATTGCACAGGGCCTCCCTGATGGACAGTGAAGTCTGGGGGGGAAAACCTCTGAAGATTTCACCTCAGAGCATTCTTTCTGCTCTCAGCCCTGTTCAGGCTCCCTGGCACCATGGAGCCCTTGGAAAACTCAGCTCACAACTCTTTCTTATCCTTCCTAGGGCCACAGGCAGTTCCCTTTCCATTCTCAGGCTCCTCTCTCCCCTG